TGCGTGTTTGCGAGGCGGCGTATTTGTAGGGTGACCTCCGCTTTCCAAATACAGGTCGGATATTGAAGTTTAGAACACTGCCCTAGTCCATTCCACTTAGAATGTGTCCAAACTGAACACAATTGCCGTCAGCTACGTGCATATAGTGATAACTCGGCGGCTCAGCTAATACGCCAGTCGTAAAATATCAATTGTATGAAAACGACTGGAAGGTAGGACAACCGGAAGCACACTGAATTTGTTGCGGAATGGCCACTATTACAACAATAACAAGCATTTAATAAAATGAAACGCTTTAGTTAATTACAAAGCCAGACGCCGATCGAGCAGTTATCCGTGCAACTGTAAATGACCACATTGTCCGATAGCTGGACCTTTGCGGTGGTTCAGAGAACACAGATATCGGCCACTGTGTTTGTTTCGGTGGTGCATGTACGTACGTACCACAACGCAGTGAGGCAACTCAGTGTGAATCAAGGAACTAACGACGTATACGGACGATAATGGGAGTTAGCGGGGGCGTGCAAAGTGTGCGTCGAACAGAGCCGAGTGACGAAGCTGTGCGCGAATGCAGCCACTTCGCACTAGTAAGCGTGTGGAGGCCCGAATGAAAGGCTATACGGCCAGTAAAAACCTCGTGCGCGCATGCTCCCTAATTGCGGCATGTTGTTCAGTCCATGCTGCTGCAGACGGACTCCCCGCGGTGTGCCGCCTCCGACGCCGGCTATGCCTTCGGGGAAGGCCCAGCTGGGGTAGCCGGCGGTGAGACTCGTCCGATCAAACTACATAGTCCCCCGCGACAGCATAGGGTGGTTGCGCTAAGGTGGGGCACGAGGAAACAGACGACGTAAGCGTAAGCTGTCGTCTGCTATGAATGAAACGACGTCGTATAAGGAGACTCGCTTGCGGTTGTCTGCATTGCATCGACTGCTGGCCGTGCGCAGGATGGTGCAGCAGGTATGCACCAGGAACGGTAGACATTCCCTCCATCGTCCCTTCTTTCTCCCTTTCACTCGCCTATATACATCCCTCACTCGTCCCTTATTTCTCCCGTGCACTCGCCTATATACATCCCCTCACTCGTCCCTTATTTCTCCCTTGCGCTCGCCCATATATGCTGCTGGTATACTTACAAAGTCACCTACGCGTCACCTATACACAGACACGTAACTTGGGTTGTGCGTGCAAATAAAAGTCTAGATCTGGTCGTTAATTGCATCGAACCGATGTACAGCACACCGCCAATCTTACCGCGTTACGTAACCAAAAAGTGTCGCTGAGTAGTGGTAAGACTGGCGTTAATATCCGCTTAAGCCCGATGCTGACAGGAAGATGTGGAGACATACAACTTTGTTTCGCGTACTTTTGGAATTGGCGAACATAGTTCGAAATGACCATTTGAAACGTCACTTATTACTGTTATTTACTATAACTTGTCGTTTTAGCCAAAGGAATGTCGCTTTGCATTCGAATCTTAGCAAAAGTGATAAGGTGCCAACGAGTATCACAATAAGTGACACAAACGTGTCTCGTTGGTGCCTTATTCCTTGATTCAGCGGGCACCAACTAGCCGAGCAAGAAGCTACGCTTGCATTCGATTGTTGAACAGTGTTCTGCATTTGGACTTGATGCATCAATTACATTCATGCCGCCTCTTTATATGGAGCTGCCACGTTAGTGCGCACTCAAGCGCATCTATACTCCAGGTCTTCACACGCCTTTCCGTGTGCCTTGTGGGTGGGATGATCGTTGCAAGTAACGATTTTCCCGAAGAGAATAAGGAATCGCCCAGCATTCCGGGCCACTTCTGTGCGTCACGTGTGTTTCACGAAGAGTAGAAACGTGTTTCAGGATCCACCATGTCGTATGCTTTGATGTCGTGACGCACGAACTATATAGTGTCGACGGAAGCGGATCCTTCTCAAGATCATTCGAAGAAGATCAACCCTATACACGTCCGGTATAGTTCCTTCAAAACCTGAGCATGCGGGCATGTTATCGACGATACGTGAAGCATCCGAGTGGGAAAAAACATGATGCATACGAGATTGATTTAGCACTAATCACTCCCGGTGTGGTTTTGGCGGAACTCTGTGAAGTCTGTATCTGAAGTCGCATAATATTAGCAGATATCATATTCTTTTGCATATCCTTTGCATTGGAGTAGCACCGGGAGGAGTGTGAAAGTTCTACTCCCCCCCCCCCCCCCTATACAAGTATACTTAATTTTCGCATATGTATACGTATACGCGTACAATGCTTCCCTACCCTCCCCCGAAAGACATTTTTTTTTTCTTCGAACTTTCGCATAACAATGCCCAGATTATGCAGCCCCATGGAAGAATCTGCCAGGGGTAAGTTTGCGGAATCGTCATGCATCCACGACTTCTTGATGAAACATAAGTAGATTTCCGTAAAAATACTTGAAAGTGGACTTCTTTGCAGGCACTGTAAATTTCGTAACGTGCACCGGTACTCTCTGTCGCTTCATTTTTTTTTTCTGCGAGCAACGCCATTTTTTTTGGGGGGGGGGGGTGGGGGACAGGAATTTATCCGCTTCTCTAAAAGAAATTCCAATAACCGAGCCTTTCTATATGCGACAACCATCAACTCCAAAGGCGTAAGCGTCACTCGTGCATTCGGCACGTTAATTCATTCCGCTGCAGAGCCTTGGAATCAACCCTTACTGTGCACATCTAAACAATTTTGAAGGAGTAAGAACGTTCGTTACTTTCAAGTATGGCGTCATGTATATCTATAGTAAAAGGACTCTCTAAATTATAAGTGGCCTAACATGAAGGGCGGCCATCATAGTTATATCTGCGACGCACGTAAGTTTTAATGCGCGACGATTTTTATGCTGGTTCACACAGACATTTGTTCATAAATCTAGAAGTCTGCGTAAATAATGCAAAAAAACGTTTGCACGGAGTGGCTAACTGACGGTGAATAACTTCGCTTCGAAACTGCTTTGCTAATTAACAGGTTGTAGAAGCATGTTGTGGTGTTGCTGTATACTATGTGCTGTGTATTTGCGCTGTTTTTTCTCTCTCGAAATAATCGGATACCACAGACGAGAGAAACAGGCACGCTTTTCTAGCGCACAAAAGATGCGTTTTTTCAGGCACCTTGTCCTTCCAGAAACACGCGGAAGGTATAATGAACAACTTGCACCTTACATGCGTGTCCTTCAAGCGACGTCCTTTGCGACTTCCTGCGAGTATTCCTGAAGGACGAGGAAATTCGTATAACGTTCAGGCGCACAGTTGATTTACGCATTTCAATAAAACGACCCTCGCCTCGCTAATGCAAATGGCACGGAGGATGATAGAGCGAGCATTTGTCTCGCGGAAGGCCGTTATACTGCGACTCGGAGGTCGGCACGTGTCTCCAGCGTCTCCCACACATGGAAATCCCTCGTGCACGGAAAGTCCAGTATTGAGCGGGAAAAAAAAAGAAATGTGGAGAGAAGGGAAAACCGAAACCAGTTGTTTTCCTACGCGAGCGACGGCAACGCGGAGCTGCTGAGTGGCGCGTCTTTTTTTCAAGGATTATGAGTAAAACTTCGCAGCCGGAGCCTGCGTTACGTTGTTTAGCGTTGAACACGTCGAGCGTTGGCAGAAAAAGAAATAAACGCAATCAGGTTTGTGTCGGTCGTCTGCGGTGCGAAGAGTCACTCTCTATATCAATCAATCAATCAATCAATCAATCAATCAATCAACCACTCAATCAATCAATCAATCAATTTTATTATCGGTGGCACTTGTAGTTCCAGATAGAAAACCAGATGTCAGGCCCGTGAAAATCTGCACCCGTTCGCATTTGCACAGAAGGCGTATGTGACAAATAGGACACGAGCAGAATACGCCGTATATTTTGAAGAACGTCGAGAGTCCTTATTGAAAAAGTTCTTGCATCAGCTATAACAGTGACAAGGCTAGTGAAGAAAGAAGCATGTTTACTCATCTTTCTGCAGTTTGTGTCGTCTTGACTCCTCTCTCGTGTCCGTCGTGCTTCGACGCCCAGTTTTTTTTTTTTTAACTTGAATACCTAACAGATATAGCTGAGTGCTTTGTTGTTTGAACTAGTGGTTGCGTTAAATAAGCGCATGTGCGTTGCGAGAATTCTTCACACGAGTTATTGATACGAAATCATTTACGTAAGGATATATATTTGTTGGATATATACAAACACATACTTTAGATGGCATGCTTAAGAGGACGTTCAAGGCGAAGTACAAGCAGGTTTCGTCGGCTGCAGAATCCATGGTAAGGCGCGAGGTTCGGACATCGGGACATCAACGAAATAGGCAGCTGATAGCTTGGCTCGGAGTGTTAATCTTAATGCCGAAAAACAAATTATAAGAAGAAATGTGTGAAATTTGGTTAAACGAATTCACCTCCGTAGACACGTTACTTCTCTAATGGATAGAACAGAAACTCACCTTTTTGAAAAGATGTACTCAGCTCCTACTTTGTACATGACTCAAGTTAGCACTTTCAAGATTTAAACACTACCGAACATCGCTGTTAAAACCACAGTCAAGCTTTCACGCTACACTCCGTAACGGATTGATTAAGTTTGACTCGCTTCGCTGAGCGAACGTTGTCCGGAGAAGCCGTGTTCAGCTCTGCTTGAAAAGCACAATCCGCTCATACTAATTAAGTTATCCACCCACACGCTTGTATCGGATTATCTATTCGGCAGTAATCCAAAGTGTTTCGGACCTCGGCGCTGATTTTGTTCCCTTTTTCTTCCATTACATACTGGTCGACAAACAATACGCATTCGCATGCATTCCGTGGCACGGGGCATCGCAGCATCTGAACTGAGGCATCACTTGCATGCACCTCGAACAAGAAAAAAATGAACACATTCACGCCGCGAAATTGAGACGTGAATTGCGAAATTGCCTAAGCATTGGCTTACGTGCCTCACGAAGGAAGCTAGAAGAGAAAAGATGATGACCCACCAATAGGGAGGCAACGAAGGGTACTAACCGGTCTCCGTCGGCGTCGGAGAGAAGCGCATACTTCACTTCGAGTGAGCGCCGGTGTTCCAAGCGCGCACTGCGTCGCGCCCTCTTCAGCTGCAGCGCCTGCTGCATGGACGTCGGAGACTTGATGCCCGGCACGGCGGCCGTGGTCAGAGGGCCGCTTGCCGGGCTTCGTACGGTCCTCACCACCATTCCGGCAGTGGGAGACGTTGGCGTCTCGGGGTGTTCCGTGCCGCGGCCGGCGGACGAGTAGCCCGACGTCGCCGAGTCCTCGGAGGCGGCGGCAGGACGACTCCCTGGTCGTCGACACACCCGAGTCGTCACACACCAGGCCGCTGTCGGTGGCGGTCGCCGAGTCGGGACAACCACTGTCTTCGCTGTGCGAGCGTTTCTTGCGCTTCTCGCAGGTCGCCTCCGGCGACGGCTCCGAATCGAGAGGCGTCTTTCGCGGCCCGGATCCGCCGCAGCTTAGGATTAGAGGTGACGGCGCTCGTAGCGGCGCGCCGTGGTTCACGTCTAGTTGACTGCCGTCGGCCGCAGTCGGCATCACTTCTTGGGGGTCACGCGAGGCGATTCCGTGAAGTTGCGTTCGACAACCCGTCCCGTGCTGTGTAAAAACACGCGGGAAACTCTAGGAAGAGGCGGCCGGCATGGTCGCACTCACAGGCGCGATGCGCGCTTTCTGACAGCTGCGTGCGGCGCGCGCTCACTCAAAACGAGCGCTCGTTCGCAGCGGGCCAGTTCGCCGGAGAGTACGGAGCACGCGGGGGGGGAGAGTTGGGGGGATCACTTATCGGATGCGCAACCCCGGACGGTGAGGGAGAGAGGCCGGTCAGCGCTACGGTTGCTGCCTGACGTCGCTAGCGAGCGCGCCGGCCTGGAAAACCCCGCCACCGGCGCTCTCCCTTCTCGCCGCTCGTGTGATCGCGCTGCCTGCAGGAGCGGGGCACAGCCGGTCCTCCCTTTCCGCAATCGGCCCCCTCCGGTCCGTTGCGCGGTCGCTGTTTGGGACGCTTGCTTAAGGACTACAATGCGGCGTCGTCTTCACGGTCACGGCCGCTGACCGGCCGACCCGAAACAGGGAGAGGGGACGAGCGTGTCGCGATTTATCGTACCCCGGCTGCGTTCTCTTTGCACCATCGCCGCCGCCCACTTACTTCGCCCAACGCTTGTCGGAGGAGGGCTGGCCTGGTCGTTAGTGAAGCGCCGGACATGCCACAGACGGTTTTCGTGCGAGCCAGGGCCGGGAATCTTTCGGAGGGGGGGGGGTCTCTCCTATTCACACGAGAAAGCACTTCGCCCCGGGAACGACTGCACTGCCCCCTGCAAACCACCCTCGATTTCCGTCTCCATGTGGATTCCCTCGTATCGTGGCGCACGATTTACTCGCGTTACCGTCGAAATGGCCACCATAAGAATGCCAGTAATGGTACCGGGACGATTGTTTCTTTTCTTTCTTTCTCGCGGATTACTATATCTCTCGCGCTCTACAATTCCAGAATGTGTGAACTTACGTCCCCTCCTCTGCCGGCATAGGTTTCCTTGGTTTGTATGTTGTTTAGGCGTTTTGCCTTATTACCTCCCAGAGTGTGAGGTGCACTCTAGGCAACCCTTTCATCATTCCGCAGGGACGCCCTTGCTCCTTGGCTGGTAGTCTTTGCAGTTCGTCCTTCCCCTCGTCCGCAGAGGCAGCGCAAAGCGCCGGCAATGACACTTGTCCGTGCTTTCCCCGCGTTTCGGTTCGCGCCGACGGACACGCCTCCGCCGTCTTTGTCCCGGGAGTTCCACACAGCACGAACCGCTGCAGCTTTTGTGCGGTCGACCGGCTGGGTTTTTTTCTCTCTCCAAGTAACGCCTCGGCGAGACCGTTTAATAGCTAGTTTTTTTTTATATGATTACACGCAAGTCAATTGTCTGTTCCGTATCTGCACACGTTTTCTCAACGTTGCCTGTGGAACTTTTTTTTTGTTTTTTCTCCGCCGGTTCACGGGGTTTAACGTCCCCTAAGTGACTTAGGCTGTGAGAGGCCTTCAGTGGAAGACTCAGAATAATTTTTTTTTTTAATCTCCAGGGTGTTTCTTTTACTTGTACTGATACGAGTATGGCGCAATGCGTGGGTCTTCGGCATTTTGTCTCTATCGAAATAAGCAAGATCGCCGCAGCCGCGATCGAATCACCATGTGGATCGAATGCACGTCCTTCGGTTTGTTTCGAGCATAGGCTCAGTCATGGTAGTTAGCCGTCAAACTAAGTGCGGTAGATGTCATTTTTAAATACGGAACACTTCAAGTGATGTCGTGTGCTGTCATCGTCGTATGATGTCGTAGCTTGGCGTATAACGCAGACAAAGCCACCAATAGCGTAGCCGTTTGAGATCGCGCTCGCACCAAGGAGACCTCCTCTTACTCTTGTTTTTCGAGCACCTTGATTATGATACGATGACATAAATAAAAAAAGCTAGAACAAAGAACTGGCATTCATAAGAAAAAATAAAGAGAGGAGGAAGTAAAGATAAAATTGAAGACAGATGGCTGCCCAGCTTGCATCAGGCCTGGCACCGATTCTGCAAGCTGCATTATTTATTTATTTTTTCCAATTGGTTTCACGAAAAACCGTGCTCTGATGAATTCAGCTAACCCCGGGGGGGGGGTAGTGGGGGTCAGCATCACGTGACGCAGCTTATACGTGTTGACTCGGTGCTCTATATATCATCGGTGCTAAAGTTCAGGAATTGTAATGGTTTTTGTTGTTTTGGTTATTTATTCATTTCAATCAAGGCGAAAAGTCTATAGGCCTGTGTGCTCGGATATGGGTGCACGTTAAAGAATCCCAGAGGTCGAAATTTCCGCAGCCCTCCACTACGGCGTCTTTCATAATCATACGCTGGTTTGGGACGTCAAACCCCCATAATAATCATTTATTTATTTATTTATTTATTTATTTATTTATTAATTTATTTATTTATTTGCAAATACTGCTGCCTCAATAGACGTGACACACCAGGAATGGGTAGATGAGTTAGTTTTAAGTCATACGATGCGTATTAAAGGTACCACAATAAGTGGGTCGGCAATTTTTCCACAAACTGTTCATGTGGTTTTTCCCGCAAGGCACCATCTAGTCTGTTTCAAATGTCGACAACGCTAGGGAAAAAAGAGTGCTTAATAATTGATAAATCGCTGAAAACAAAAGAAATAGCATTATGCGGGTGGGGTTAGCGCGAGGCACGCCTTGTGAAAGTGTTGAAGGAAAACGGAGCTTGAATGAAACTGTGGCCTTGTGCAATCTTGTGCGTGCGTGCAAGAACCAGTGGCTCTAACGATAAAACGCATGCGCCAGATGAAGGACAAAATTGCGATCATATCGGCGAAAAACGAACCATACTGCTTCATTTCTTTGGTATGGCCTCCAGCTTATTTATGTCAAGGGCAGTATATGTTGACAACTGATGAGTACTATTGTGACGGCCTAACGAGGGTTATGTAGGTAGTTTATTTACGGTCCCTGGCTGTGTGCTTGAGAGTTTGTTTTAAGTATCCCTATACTTTCGTTAAACCCTACATATCAATTAAGTATCCAAACTTGCTCCGTAGCGGAAATGGTTTAAATGCGAAGTTGCCACTCCAGATTTTCAATAGAGGTAATCAGGTAATCATGGCGGCCATGATTTGAGGGCCACATGATTATCCCAGAAGGTTTTACAACTGGATCTTTCGAGACTTACGAAGGTTTGTCTTTTCTGAGATGCTAAGGACTCGGTTTTCTCATTATACGGTTGTGAAGCACGTATATACAAAACAGACAACGTAAAGACGCTTCATCACCATCACCTGAATCTTTTGCGTTCGAATGTTAAGAATAAAACGTATCATTGTAACTTTCTATTCACCGGTTTACCAGGCCTTGATATTTCTCAACGTGCAAGCACATATGACACCGAATACCTTCGTTCACCAGATAAATGTCTGCAAAATATATAACTTTATACCAATGATGTGTTTTGCAAGAAAGCTAGCTCACTTGAAAAATAACCAAAGTGCTTCCCCTGTTCTCACTTCTCTTGCACTAGTTGTTACAGCTTGTATAGAAGTTTGAAAATTCCATAGAAATCCGGCTGTTTGTTTGACCTCGGGCTTCCGAATTTCATATTGGGGCCTAATGAGATACTAACCGAACAAAAAAAAAGTTTGCGAACGCACAATGGAAGAGGTACGTTAAGGCAATCGTTTTTGGCTGCGCTCGGCACAACATTCGGTTATCGCTACGTTGCTTTGTTCTTTGAATTGTTTTCATTTCTTGCCTCTATAAGCATTTCCTTATTTTGTACTCTTTTCTATTGTAGTGCGCAATAACGTCTAACGTTTCGGTATGTTATTGGTGCTCTTAGAAAATTAATTCGTTGCTCGTAGTTTTTGACATTTAAAAGAATATATAAAATAAAGCATGATGTGGCATTACACCGTGATTGCATGTGTTTACTTGCCAAGTGAAAAGCATTTAGAACAACATCAAGTTAGCGCAAGTAAAATATACTGCACATGGCTTGCTCCGTTCGCTTCTGAGCGAAGACCACCGTGTTGAATACTAGTCGAAAAGTGGATTACTTCACATACATTAGCAAAGACGCAGATAAATGATAACCTAGAAGTGGTGTTCTAGCTAAGTGGGATATATCACACTTTGCCTGTTTTTTTTTTTTTTTAGTTGCTGCGCCATGTTTGACACTTCGAGTCATACTTAACTCGTTCATATATTGATGGTCGTTCAAAAGAGAAAGAGGGAGAAAGGGAGAGAAATACAGTGAGGATAACCAGTTCGTACCTGGTTTCTACCCTCTACCGGGGGAGAGGAAAGGGTATGAATAGAATAGAGAGGGCAAGGAGGAAACAAAGAAGAAGTACATGACTTATGGCTTTCACCGCGTACGCCCATATACAGTCACAAGCGAGAAATATTTAAGAACGACTCCTCTGTGGCTGTCTTAAAGTAAACTGGAATCCGACGTGCTTGCGAGGACTGGCTCCAAAGAATCCATGCAGAGCTTGCAAAGCACAATGAGTGGATGGAGTTGCCATTCTGGTGAACGTGTTTACAGCGTGAATGCGGTGCGTATAAGGTGACTTTGCAGGTGGATATAAATATCGGAACGTCGTGGTGTTACACTATCGTAATCCTTTAGCAAACTCAGATTAAGCATGGAGAAAAGACGCAAGAGCGAAGGAGGGAAACACAGACAACAGGATGAGTACGATGCTTTCAAGTTTTGTTTATTGCATGACCCTACAGCGTTGTCTGTGTTTCCCCTCTGCACTGTTGCATCTTCATGCTCACCCTGAGCTGCGCTAAAGCAATGCGACATTGTAACGCACCAACTTGCCCCATCTTCAGTACGTGATGGTGCTACACGGCATAACGTCGCGCCAATCAGACATCTCGGTTGGCATCACCTTCTGTAAGGCAAGGTCCCCGTTTAGCAAAGCGCGTTCGTTCGCGGCTCAATTAATCTCGGGCGAGCAGCAAGGTCGTCGTTCCTGGCACGTTCTCCGCGCGTGCATCCGTGCCCCGCAGGGCAGCTCGCAATCGTGCCCGCCATGACATCCTCAATGGCGCACCGAAGGTCGGGGAGTGCCACCGCTATCCGTCGCCCGACTCCATCTTCCTCAATCACAATGGCCGGGATTTTCCTCCCCCAACGGCTGCGCCACGGAAATGGCCGCCACGCGCCTTGCTCCAGGACTGCCTCCGTTCAGGGCGCGAAAGACACCGGCCTCTGCGGTCAAAGAGCGCTCCCCG